TTTTTAAAGCAAAGAGAGCAATAATAACATTAGTTTTATTAACTAATGGCTACCAATGCTAGGTAATATGGTTAAGAACCTAAACTTAACTATATATATATTTTCACAATAAAATGTTATTCTTCCCAGCCCATTAATATCCATATATACATGTCATTATATTATATTATATTGAAACAAACCTTGTTGCTGTTTCCCCAAGTTCTTGTAGTGGTCCATATCTCTCTATGTACTTCTGACATGTTCTTATGTGTGCCCTCATTTCACTGAGGCATACCTACATAAAAGCAAATTTTAAAAAGTTCAATGTTGAAAAGGGGTCCAGTGAACCCAACGAAGTTTTATATGATCCAGCTTCATAAATTTCATCTTTTTCAAATTAGGCCATAATGATTTAATCAAGTCATTAAAAGAATAAATTCTTGACAGCAGTAGGCATTATCAAGAATGACACAATTTTTCTATTTTTGACTTCTTGAATTTCATTCTTCTAAGACAACATATATGTTTTAAAAGATTTATTATTAACTCCAGTTTATTTTTTGGATGCCATTACCTAAATCAGTGATGGAAAGAAGGAAGCAGCGAGGAAAAAGGGAGAGGGGAAAAAAAGAGAACAAGAAGGAGGAAAGAACAACATAATTAAAAAAGAAGAGACAAAAATGAAAAAAAAAAATAAAACAGATATAGAGAGAATAAATGGACAATTTTAGAGATGGTTACTGCAAGTAAAAAGAAACCCTGTGCTTCAGGGAAAGCTATAAATACGATGGTTTTATAATATATCCAGCAGGATTACATGAATTCACAATACACAGTGTACTTAATGGCCCCATTAAGAGCAAACATAAAAGACAGTTCTTGCAGTCCATTTTTATCAAGGCAGAATAAAGAGCCCTTGTTTCTCTAGCTATACATCCTGAAGTCTTAACCATGAGGGATCTGTTGCTAAATGACACGTATTCTACTAAATGTTTCATTAGAAACTCTGATAAGATCTTGTGCTAAAGGAAGCTTTGCACAGCTGTGGCAAGGCGGCTCACCCACACCCTGCTTCATTTTGCCCCAACCATGGAAGTTAAATCTCAAATCTGCCACATTAAGGAAACAGTTATAACTGTTTAACAAAACAGAAAAATAAAAGTAAATAGAAAACCAAAACAAATCCCTGCTTCACAAATACCTATCTAAAAGATGTCAAGGCTAGTATGGATCTAGGAAGTTATCTTAGAATACTGTTTGGCAACTTTTTAACACACTTTACACTTTAGTGCCCTTTTAACTTTTCATTACTTTTGTTCAAAGTTTCTTCCTCCTTTGTATTCCTTGATCAATAAAAATAAGCAATCTTTAATAAATCAGCAATTTATGAACAGCATACTGGCAAATGAACTGACTGATTAATTGTGTCTACTCCAGACACAAAATTATCTAAGCCATTTTTAAGACATGACAGAATAAACAGAAACCACTAAACTCACTATAAACATGCTTATAATCTAATGGAGGGGAAAAGAAGCTATGTGTTGGTAGATGAGAGACAGGAAAATGATTGACATTGAGGACTAGAATATGTATAGAATGGGGATTTGGCCTGGTCTCTGAAGAGAAAGAAAAGTCTAAAAAAGCTACAGAAGGAATATTAATATTCCTGGCAAGAAGAATAACGTAAACTGAAAGAGATATAAAGGGAAAATAAATACTTGTGAATAATCAGAAAATGGGGATTAAAAAAAAGAAGGGGATTTTCACTCAGAATAACTGAAAAATGTTCTTGTTTCTGACAAACACCAAAGAAGGAATAAAGAACTAGATCTTTGAATGATAGGATGAGTTTAATTTTGTACCTGTTGAATTCTATATGATAAAAAGTAAAAAAAGCAATTAACTATTATTATGAATGTGAAAGCTATCAATGTTGAACATTTGTTTTTTTCTCAATAGTACTTAACATTATATATATATTATCATTTACCTGGACAACCAGCCTGTGACAATGACATGAATATGATCTTTCCCCTCTTTTTTTTTTTTTAATCTTTCCCCTCTTTTTAAAAAAAAGAAAAAAAAAACTTAGATCAATAACTTGCCCCAATCACAAAACAAGTGAGAGCATCAGTGTTTGACGCCAGGATGTCTGACTTCAAAGAGCCTGCATAAATTCAGTAGGCAGGCAGCCATGAATAGATTAAGATATTAATATTCAATGGAAGAAAAAGAAACAAATAGCAAGCACTTATTGTGTTCCAATCATTTTTCATAGCGCTGGGTACACAGCTGCCAATAACAGGCACAGGCCCATACAGTCCATTTAAGTGCCCTTGTGGAACTTAAATTTGGGTGTGGGGGATGAGCAACATGAAAAAAGTCACAAGCATAATTACAACTGGCGATAAGAACTATAATAGGGAGGCATTTATGATACTTCACTCTCACTCAACCCCACATCCAGACAATTAACGATTCCCTTCAATTCACTCTCTTAATTACACTTTTTTTTGTTGTTGTTTTGTTTTCTAAACACACTTTGAAAACTATCTCTAATCAATCTCTCCTTTCTTTCTCTCTCATCCTAATCCAGTTTCTTAACTTGAGCCATTATAATATCCATGAAATGAATTCACCAGACCTGTTTTGGCTCCTCCAAAACCATCTTCTGTGTTCATGCTGGAGTGATAGCTTAAAAATATAAAACCGGGCCCTCGCTGGTGGCGCAGCGAGTTAAAGCACAGCACTGAGAAGCTAAAGCCGCTTCCGCATGAGTTCGATTCCCGCCTGCCCTGGAGGAGATCCACATGGCTGGCAGACCTCTCCTGACCCACCCGCTGCTCCCCTCAGCAGTGTACTTCGTCTATCTGCCTGTTCTGTTCCCCACTCTGTCTCTGGTGAAGCCTCTCGCCGCCCCTGAGCCTCTGGCCTGTACCCCAGTTCTGTATGCACAAATAAATAAATCTTTAAAAAATATATATATATAAAGCCAATTATTGCACTCCAAAGTTTACACTTTTTCTAATGCCTCACTTATTGCATTTAGGATAAAATCAAGAATCTTTTGCATAGCTTTTCAGATGAGGCTAGTAGAGTATCAAAGGAGGAAAACTGTCAATAGAAGAGGATGCTGCAAAGCCCAGAGTAATATAGACAGATTGTGCTGCCAGATTAGATACCAAAGCTCTTCATTGGTGGCTCAAGGAAATGAGTGGCAGGAATGACAGTCATAGGAGTAATAGGAGGCGAGGATAGAGTTTGTTGATGAAAGCATTTGAAAGATTAGGTGATGATGGAGGTCATGTAACCATTTTACTGCAGCTGACATATGAAATTCGAGAAAAGGGGATTTGGAAACAATAAACACTAGAAAGTTAGGGTAGGATGAAGTGAAAGGTATAGGATTTTTGTTGAGTTGAATAGCAATGTTCTCAGAAGTTTGTTGAAGCCAGGAGCCGAAGCTGGCTCTTACCAGGGTGTCACCTACCAGGGTGTCACACTCAGTACAGTTCTGATACTCTGATTTCATTCTTTTGGTCACGTCAGTTGCTGGAACTCCTTCTGAAGGAAGATATGCCCGGCAATAAGGGCAGGTCCACTTGTTGTTCTTTAGACTGGTAGCAATACAGGAGCGGCAGAATCTACCCAAAACAAAACAAGAATCTGTCACTTTTCTTAAACGGTATAAAAGACCCACATTATAAAATTTATGTAAACTGTATTTTAATGAGATGTTGAACATGAGAGTCACACTACCACATTTAAAAGTCCATTTGCACCCAACACCTGTTCAAAAATCATTCATCATGAAAATGAGACTTCACACATTCTCACACCATGCTCTATACACATTTAAACAAAAGAAGACAAAATGGTGAAATAACATTACTATAAAGCCATAACTCAAAAGATAACTATTGTGTTTATTCTCTTTAATCCTAGCTTACCTAAAAATCTTTGGGAAAGTACAATAACTTGCTCTGTGGGATTTTGTGTGTTAGAGAAGAAAAGATCACGTTGAGAAGATAAATATATCAGACATATTATAATTATTTATAAAATAATTTCAAGGATATCACCAGACATAGAAAATTATCTTAGGGCCCTCCCTGGTGGCACAACAGATTAAAACACAGCACTATGGAGGATCCATAGCCACAGCAGCACGAGTTCAATTCCTGGCCAGGGAGGTGATCACATGTGCAGCAGATCTCCACTGACCCAGCTGCTGCTCCCCTCAGCAGTGAATTTCAGTTGATCTGCCTGTTCTGCTCCTCAGCCTGTCCACATATACTTCTGGCCTGTACCCCAGTTCTTTTCTTGAATGCATGAAATAAATAAATCTTAAAAAAAAAAGAAAATGATCTCATTCATATTAAAACGATTAGGGATGTCCTCCAAGTCAAAAAATATATTACCTGATTTACTTAAAGATAAATTATAATAACATTTTAACAAAATAGAATTTACAGACTATCTTGAGCTATTTATAGGAGCTATCTGCTGTGAAATGCACAGAGAAGTACAAACAAGCATTTTAGATCTGATAACTCTTAAAATACTCAGCATAAATTATCTGTTTGGGATTGATATGAAGCAAAAGTTAAACTTTTAATAATTTGAGTAAACTATATACTAAGAAAACCATGTATCATAGGTATGCAAACTGAACTCCCAATGATATTAGCCATTATTAATTCTTAAAAGTAACTTCTTCAGCATCTGTTATAAAATTATTATAAGCCCATAGAGGATGCTGATGTGAGCTCTATCCTTGAGGCTTACTTGATGTTTATGCTTGCCCTGCATCCATTTCCTGCTTCCCTTGCAATAATAGCATACTGATTTTATTTTGCAAGAACCACACTTATTATATTAGGTAAAATCAAATGGGGTGACACAACAAGAAAATAAACAAGTTGTATCAATGTATCATATTCCAACCAGAATACTACACAATGGGTAAAAAAAGAACAAATTATTGATACTTGACACAACAATGGATAAATCCCAAAGACAGACTGCTTTAAAGAAGTCAGACCCAGAACGTGTAATTACACTTACATGAGGTTATAGAATACTGGACTGATTTATGGCAGGAAAATAATTATTACAACGGTTGTCCATGTGGTATATGGATGAGATTGCCTAGGAAGGGTGATAAGGAAGCTTTCTGGACATCACAAAAATATGTTATATATTGATAGGGTCTGGACTAAACAAGCCTACATTTATGAATTTCACTATATGTGTAATGTATCTTAAAAAATAAATATTGAAATCTGGCTGACATTATGCATGCTGATAAGAGAAGGGATAGGTGTGGTGATACTTGTAGTCTACTCTGAATTGCATCAAAAAATAAAATGGATTGATGAATGGAAAGGTATACGGTAAAGTAAAAGCCAGAGGCAGCTACAGCAAAATTAACAATTATATTAATAGAATCTAGTGGTGGACAAATGGGTGTTCACTGTACAATTCTTTCTTATATAATAAAATCTTGGGGAAAATTAATTTCCTTTACTTAGTCTTTTCTTACAAAAATTATTATTTCTTTACTTAGCCATGTGAAACTTTAGTATGATTTAAATTTTCTTTTGAGAAAATCTAGTTGGAAAAGAAAGAAGGAAAATATTTGAAGAATGAGATATCTGACATTTTTAATATAATGTGATTTAAAAAGAAAAATATTTTTAAATCATTGGATTTATATTCATTTAAATATCTTAAAGAGCATCCAGGATTTGAAATATACTTATAATGCTAAGAGAAAACACAGATTTTTCAAAAATGAATTTTCATTGATTTTAGAAAGAACAGTTATTTAATGGACATGAGCATGCACTCCCTGGAAGAAGTCCTAATAATAGCACTGTGACAGTACCTACTGTTGCTGCTCTCAGACTTGTAGAATAGGAAGACAGGAAATAAGCAGGTAAACAAGTAGACCAGCAACTAATACAGTTTTTTTAAAAAAGAGCAAATTGTTGACAATAAAAATATACTGGGTTGTGTAGATGGAGCAGTTAGATGCTTAGTCCCTGCAAAGATACTTAAATATTTGCACCAGTCTTGGGAAGACCTGGGGATGGTTTTCCAAGCAGAGAACAAAAGATACAAAGATAGGGATCATCATGTTGTAATATAGAATGCCAGGATGATTGAAGTATAGGGTGTCCAGAGGAGAGTATTTAGAAATAAGTAGGATAGTAAAATAACAGGGACCTATCATTTAGCTGCAGTTGAGAATGACGGGGAAGTATTGAGGGTTTTAAGCAGGAAGCTGATTTACATTATATAGTTCACACGTAGTCTTGCGTGAACAGGTTACAGAGGAACAAGATCTATAGTGAGGGCCTCAGTTTTAAGTCTAGTGCAAAAGGAGCTGGTGGTTTAGAGTAGCAAAGTAGCAGAGTGTGTAAGTATCCAGATTCAGTCCAGATTAGAATTTACAATTTAAAACGACAAATACTGATACATGCACCATTATGCTATATGAATAAAGACAACCACAAAAGACTAGTTACTACATGATCCCAAAATGTAGTGATGCCATGCAGATAGGCAATGGGTTGGGATGGATGGGAAGGATTGACTACAAAAGTTTCAAGGGAGCACTTCAGTGAAATATAACTGTTCTAGATCTTGTCTATGTAGATCTTAGATATACAAGACATTTTGTGTGAATCGTAAACTAGCATCTCAGTGAAACTGAAAAAAAATGAAACCAGTGACAACTCACTGATAACAATGTGTCTGTAAAAGATCACAGAATTAGGCCCTCCCTGGTGGCGCAGTGGGTTAAAGCACAGCACAAGAAGCGAAAGCCACTTCCTCATGAGTTTGATCCGCCTGCCCTGGAGGAGATGCACATGGCACAGCAGACCTTCTCCTGACCCGCCCACTGCTCCCTTCAGCAGTGTACTTCATTGATCTGTCTGTTCTGCTCCCCACTCTGTCTCTGGTAGGTTCGCTCGCCCTCCGCATCTCTGTCCTGTACCCCAGTTCTGTACAAATAAATAAATAAATCTTTTAAAAAAAAAGATCACAGAATTATATACAGCACAGACCCATTCAGAATCATGAACTTGGCCTCCCACCTACACACATCCTGAGGCACCACTACACAGTAAATGATCAATAAATTTGAGATAACTAAATCATTAACAGTTGTGAGGAATGGCTCCAAGAAGAATTTTCTGGCCAGGGCCCAATGTCCCATGATTAAGAGTGCTGTATCCTGACTGAACATCCATCAAGAGAGAAACAGACAAAAACCTAAGGAGATAAGGGATTCCTACGTCTGCTCTCAACCTTTTTTCATATGGTTCAGAACATTACTCATAATGGCATGATGAAAATGGGGAGAATTCAGGTGAAAGATAAAAGTCAACCATGGAAGTCAATTGCATCGTTTTTAGGTTACACTGCAAATCACCACATTAACATTTTCAAAATTCTAAATGAATTGCCATTGCTTTAAATTTTTTACAATTTCATACATAAACACAAATGGACATAGGAACATTAATTCAAAAGGATACCTGCACCTCTATGTTTATTGCAGCACTATTTACAATAGGTAAGATATGGAAACAACACAAATACTCAAAAATAGGTGACTGGATGAAGAAGATGTATATATACATAATGAAATTTTAGTCAGCACTCAAAAAAGATAAACTCATGCCATTTGCAGAAACATGGATGGACCTGGAAAAGATCATGCATGCTTAGTGAAATAAGCCAGACAGAAAAATACCATATGACATTCTGATATTGTCTGATATCAGGTTTCATTTATAGGAGGAACCAGACAAAGGATTAAGAAAAATTATAATACATTAAAAAACAAAATTAACTAGGCAACTATAAATCAAAGGCACTTTGCAGGGGAGAGGGAGGTAGAAGGATCAAAACAGGGGAGGGAAGAGTACAAGGCACTATGGTGATGGTGCCGGGGTGAATCGGTGGTGAGACTTATATGGGAACTACACCTGAGAGGAGAAAGCAAACACTGGACAAAAAGGAATAATGAGGTAAAATATATATACAATTTTTTAAAATGGCATTAGGCACTGTAGTCTAAAATACTCCAATGTAGATGAATAAACACACACCCTGGTACACACACTCACACCCACACATACCATTCCTTCTCCAAGGACATATCAGGTTGGCAGGCTCTATTATTAGAACACGCGCCCTCCTGCCTGGCACTACCCCAAAGATGTCATTTGGTGTGTTTAATATTCAATTAGGTTACACTTAAAGTCCATCCTGGAAAACTGCAGGTTCCAAAATTTCATCCTACCTATCTCTATACTCTATCATGTCATGATTTTAAAACTAACCCCCTAAGAAAAATTTCATTTCTTTAACCTAAAACCTTAAAAGGGTTGCCCTCTATAACTATATCTCCAAAAGGTGGCCTCACTTTATTGTATTTTACTATCCATTAAATAGAATTGTCTGAGGTTGTGCTTTTCAATTTTTTTAAAAAATAAGATTTATTTATTTATGCATACAGAACTGGGGTATAGGCCAAAGGTGCAGAGGGTAAAATGATGCAATAGAGACAGAGTCGGGAGCAGAATAGGCAGATTAACTGAAAAACACTGCTAAGAGGAACAGCGGGTGGGTTAGGAGAGGTGTGCCACACCATGTGGGTTACCTCCTGGGCCAGGGATTGAACTTGTGCTGCAGTGGCTATGTTAACTTCACAGTGCTGTGCTTTAATCCTTCGTGCAACCAGGGAGGGGCGGGGCCCTGCACTTCACAAATTTTAAAGAGGCTATAACCTGGCCATCATGTTAAAATGCAGATTTACTCTACTTCAGTGGATCTTCAGTGGACTTCAAGATTCCGTAATACTGCCTGGTCACTGACCAGCAGCAGTCAGATACTAAAGAGAATCTCAGCATAAAACTAAATTTTTTCCATTCTTCAGGTTGTTTGTTAAAGGATATGTAATTCAATAGATCATCAATATTTCATTTGCCTATTAGGCACAGAAAAGTCCATTACAGGCAGCAAATTTCAGATGAGTTTAATTACACCCTTCTGAAATTCTGAATAACACAGATATAGACAAGTAACTCTATCAAAGAAATGGAATTCAAAAACTACCATGGGTCAGTAACTGCAAGCCCAAAACACATAGTAACATCAGTGAGCTAGCAATGTAGAGTGCTTGTACCCACTTGAGGTTTCACCCACGTTTCCAAACTGTATTTTCAGTACAATATCCTAAAATTACAACTTCCCCCACATACTTCCTATTCCATCTCCCTTTTATCCTTTCATTTTTTAAATCCTTAACACCCATCATCACATAACAATACTATGTCCTGAATACACGAACGTTACTTATCGTTCATCTTTCTCACAAAAAGGCAAACTCCAAATGTGTGGGCATTTGTTTCTCGATGCTCAGCCCACAGCAGATATTTGCTGGATCAATAAATAAATGCACCTCTGACAACAGTAGATCCACCCAGTTTACCCACACAAAAATAATAATGATGAAGCTAAATGAACAATGACTTCAATTTAAAGAAAATTTTGTGGATGCTCCTGTTTGCTTGAGCAACTTGTGCAGAAAGGCAGACTTTTTAGAATTCTGAAGAATCTTCTAATACAGGTTAATAATAATCTAATTTTTGTTTTTTAATCACCCTGAAAATTCTTTCAATCGATATGATGATTAGTGTAATATGTTAGGTAGGTAAGAGTACGCTGTTCAATCACTTATGTAAGTGTTGCTGTGAAGCTATTTTGTCAGCTGCCTTTAAGAACAGGGATCATCCTCAACGATGTAAACCAATTCCTTAAAACCAATCTCTCTCCCCCTCTCTGACTCTTCCCCCATCCATACAGCTAGATGTAGATATTGCACACTTTTATGATAAATGTTCTGGGATCTACCCCCTCCCTAGACTAGGAGGCAAGAAAGCAGTGTGTATAGATTTAAATTTAAAGCCCTTCAGGCTTTTGCTGCACATAAAATCTAACCTTACGTCCCTTCCTGGTAGCTCAAAGGGTTAAAGTGGAGCATCATGAAGCTATCGCAGCCACTGCAGCATGAGTTGGAACCCTGGCCAGGGAGGTGACCCACATGGCGCAGCAGACCTCTCCTGACTTGCCAGCTGCTCCACTCTATTTCAGTAGATCTTCCTGTTCTGCTCCCCACTCTGTCTCTGGTGAATCCTCTCACCCTCAGCACCTCTGTCCTGTACCCCAGTTCTGTATGCATAAATAAATAAATCTTAAAAGCACTTATGAAAATGCTCAACAGTTTCATTTTCAAAATTAGACAAATTCTGTGACTTAGAACAGCTTAATCCAATTCAGTTCAATGGAAATGTACCTTATAACATGCTCCGGTTACTCAGGTTAGTTAGTACATAGATATAGTTTCAACTTCTTGCCCTTTTTAGGAACTACCTGAGGCTCCAACTCTGATCTCTTTCCCCAAACTCACTCTTTCCAGAGCAACTGATATATTTCCATTTGTATTATCATCCTATCAAACTACAGTACATTCAACAAGTCCAGAGGTAGAAGGCCTTCACCCAAAATCTATACAACTGGTTAACTGAAACTAATAAAGTTGATAAAACACTTAAAATAGACCTTCTAAAAGCCCACCAAAGAAAAAAGAACAAAACTAAAAGTAAAGCTATCTGGGACATATTGGAAATGTCATAGATTTACCTATTTCCATTCCAAACATATAAAGGAATACTTACTGCTCATGGGTTTTTGCTTTGCAAAATTACTTTAAAAGAAATAGAAACTAGGTTTGAGCCTTTATTATAGGAAACTTTTATGTTTTAAATATTCATTGAAGTTCCAATATTCACCCTATTTTACAGATGAAGAAACTAAGATTTAAAGATATTAATCAAGGTAGTGGTCACATAGCTGGCTAGTGGCAAAATTAAATCTCAAACTTGTTATAGCTAGCCTACTATTTTTACTGCATGGCAATACAATTTAGAAGGTGCTATTATATGCATACATATTCATTTAAAATATTTTTTCCATTATTATAGGCATTTGACTTGAAATAATCTGTAACCAAATTAGCAAAACACCTAGTTCAAAAAGTTTGAAATTAGCTTCAACCTGGTATAAAATAGAGAGGTATCATTTCTACTTCTTTATTTTCTAATTTAAGTTTAATGTAAAAGAGTAATTAATTTAGGAAGTACAAATGCTGGTAACACCACTCATCATCCCCAGTGCAGAAGGGACTCTAGTTAACATTTATAAAGTGGAAAAGACCCAAGTAAATTTGCCAAAAGGAGGAATATGGAAATTCTGCCCACAGCCAGAACAATGGACACAGATTTGTCAAAACAAAGAACAGTAAAGTGAAGGAAGGCAATTTGTCCAGTCCTTGTTCTATTACTTCATGGCTATTTTTCCAATTGCTGGTTTCCTATTCACTATAACAAAGAAAAGATTAAACAAAAGACACCATTTTGCAAATTTATACTATTCTTTAACAAGAAAGCAAAAACACAGCAAACAATAAGTTAACAGCATTTAAAACCTAAACCAGGGAAATCCATTCTAAGACAGGTATCTTTGGCTCAACTTTTAAGTTTTAATGCTAATACAGATTAAATTTAAAATGCAATCATGCTGATTAAAATTAAATGTAAGTAAATGTATTTATTATTGCCCTAAGCGAATAATCAATATGCCTTGTTGCACAACATTATCTTGGAGTCCATATTGCCTTGGGGTATTATGTCAAAGAGCTGCATGTGAATAGTTGGGAAACAATATCAGTAAACAAACAGGAGGTAAATTACCCTAGAGTTTAAAGTACAAAGCTGAAATAACAGGCTGTGAAAATACAACCACATAATAATGCCTCTGGCACCCTTAAACAATGTGGGGCTTCAGCTTTTTCTCCTTGCCTCTCAGTGGGCTTTTTGATGGTTAAAAGCAAGTTTTCAGGCACTAGACTATAGGTGTCAAGAACTACTTTGAAAAACATTTTGTGCACTTGAATTTATAATTTGGTACTTCTTTTTTCCTGGTTAAGTGGAAAGCACTCAGTAATCATTGCGGTAATGCCTAGCGTTTCAGCGACCACAGTTAGCCAGCAGTCCAAAGAGGACGTTAAGTGGGCTTCCGCTCTCGCCTCACACCACCCACCTTCGTACGCACACTCATGTGTCCATAAAAAGAAAACTTCTGCGTAAACAGAAAACACAAATTCACAGATCCAACTCCAATATTAGCTACTTAAGCATACATTAAGGACGTGCCAATTATTATTTAGGGGTTTGTTTTCAAGCTTCTTACAAATTACCATGACTCTCAGTTAACAGCATTTTAGTTATTAAATAGGTAGAGATCTTTTATCTATATTTTCTATCGGTTTGGGGAGGAGCTTCAGTAAAAGCAGTTTGCAAACGCCTGTCACTTTGTGACTTGATTTGAAACAACTGCATTCACGGGCTCGGTGCTTCGGTTACAGACGTCAACCCGACAGGTTGTTTACCGACCATAAAAAGTCACTAGGAATCCTGGTTTGACTTGGCGATCTTTGAGGGGTCTGGGTGTTTGTGTAGGGAAAGGGAGGAGGGGGTGGGGAATGAGAGGACAGCCTTCGCATAGCTCCCGGTTTGCTCAAGAACGAGTTTTAGTGGGCGTTCTGGAGCACGTGCACAGAGTCAGCAAAAACAAAATTGAACCCGCTTTGGGGGGAGGGGTGAAAAGCACCCCGGATCAACCGAGTTCAGGGGGTGGCTGCTCTACGAGAGCCCACAACCATGTGCCAAGGTGGGTGCCGTTCTCCAGCCAAGGATAGCCTCACCAGCTCGTAAGTCCTGACTCTTCGGCGTATCTAGTCGCTGGGATCCCCATTCTCGGGGCTCCATCCGAGCCTGTGGCTCAGGGGGAGATGGCTGGGGAACCGCAGGGGGCCAGCTTGTGGCTGTTCGCCTCCTGAAATACAACGTCACCTCCTGACTGGGCATTTTCCCCCCGTGGCCCACAACTGATGGGTCCAGATGTCCCCGTGCGGCAGTTTCCTTGTTTCTGGGCACCCCCTCTCCCCGCCCCCATGCCTTGGGCTTCCCCAACATCGCACGCTCTAGAGGGTGGGTTGCTCAAAAGGAGCTCCCCCCGGCACTTACACATGGCCACAGCGGGTCCGTACAGGCTGGTGTAACACCTCGAGACACACGGAGCAGTCAAAGGACGTGACGAGCAGCTCAGGATCCCCCCTACGTTCCAGGGCCCGCGGGGTGGCTGAGGCGGGAGCGGATTTGCCGCTTTCGCTGCTCAGCACAGAGCCCATCGCCGCGCCTCTCTTGCCCAGACAGCTGCCAAGAGCTCTGAGCCTGCAGCGGGTTGTTTTGTTGTCCTGCGGTGGAGGAAGGAAGTCCCGGCCCAGCTGTGATCGCCACCTCCCAGCGCGCCCTGCTAGCGCAGCCTGCTAGCGCAGCCTCCGCCAGGGCGCCCAACCTCTGCCTAGGGCACGCAAGTGCACCGCCCAGTTTCTGCAATTATCTTGCTCGAATGCCGCCTAGGTGGAGGGGCTGAGGAGGCGGCAGTCGCACAGAGCAAGCTGCAAGGTCTCCTGGTCCTAGGAGAATTGAAACCTGAAACTTCAGCTGCAGCTGAGAGGACCTGCTAAGTCACTGAATCTTCCAGGCATTCTCACACCCTCCTCTTCCCTATTGTCTCAAGTTAAGGAAAGTTGTGAGCCTGGTCAAGCTTTTCCGGAGTCAGAGAACACCCACTCTAAAGTCATGGTCCTGTCAATTCTGCATTGTTGTAATCATACAGCTACAAAGACGAGTTATGAGCGTCTCCTAAGCCTGTCTCCACCGCTACTTCGTTTATCTAATCAATACTCTGTGAATGCAGAGATCGAATGCGACAGTAGTTCTAGCGACCTGGATTCAAATTTAAGCTCTAGGACAGGGACCCGTGATCCCCAGTTCCCTTGACTCAGGATTTCCTGCTGTTGTTTGTATTCCCTCCCCTATCCTCTTTTAACCAAATCTATTGTTTATTAATTTATGCATTTAATAAGATTGCATTTTAAAAAAGATTTTATTTGTGTATACAAGAACTGGGGTACAGGCCAGAGGTGGGGGAGTGGGGGGTGGTGAGAGGATTCACCAGAGACAGAGTGGGGAGCAGGAAAGGCAGTGACTGAAATAACACTGCTGAGGGGAGAAGTGGGTAGGTCAGAAGTCTGCTGTGCTGCGTAGGCCAGGAATTGAACTCATGCTGCAGATAGCTTCATAGTGCTGTGCTTTAACCTGTTGCAGCACCAGGAAGGGCCCACATTTAGTAAGATGTCTGTAGTGTTTGTTGGATGTTTGATTTGATCTAAGGCTATAGACCCAGTTTCCAACAAGCTCACAAATCTCAGAACTTACTTAAAATACACACATCTATTGTGAGATAATTATCGATTCATGTGCTTATTCAAAAATAATGCATAATACACACATACAATAATACAGATAGTGCATAATGATCCCATAAATTTTACCCAGTTTCTCCCAGACTTTACTGTTAATGAGAAAATATAAGTAATCAAAAAAATTTGATAATAAGAGCCATGAAGAAGATAAAACAGAGTGAGAACCAAGTCAGGAGAAAGACAAAGAAGACTTTTTGGAGGAGCAGAATCATGCATGATAAAAAGGAATCTACTATGAAAAAAATTTAGAGAAGAGTTCGCTAACTTTTGGGGACAGTTAGTGAGACAGGAACAGAGAACACAAAGATGCTGTGGGGAGCTGGTGCAAGTGGGGCTCAGGGGAAGAAATGAGGCAGAAGACAGGTTGATCACATCATAGTTTACAGGCCAAGAGTCTGGTTTTTATTCCAGGTGCCATGATTTGATTTATTCAGACTGCTGTGTGGTTTTGGAAGAAAAAAAAACATAAAAAAGTATGCACATAGAGAAACCAATTAGGAGTTAACTGAGTTAGTCCAAGTTTGAATGATATTGACATGAACCACAGTGATCTGGCTAGAATGTAAGAGATGGATAGATTAGATTTGGGAGATATTTAGGAGAAAGTCCTAAAAGGGTCTGCCATTGAATTTGATGTGAGAGTGAGAGAAAAATAATCATTCTTATCTTTAGAAGAAGAATAGAAACCCTCTGTTGATCTTACATGTCTCTCAATGCCCATCATATATCCTCTCCAAGGTTAATTTCTTGATCTGATTTGCTGCATTTTATGTCTTCATTTCTTAATTATTGTGATATTTTTTCCTTCTCATTCCTCATTCTCTAAGGTTCTCAAAAATCACATAGGTTTTCTTACACGCTAGGTACCAAAGACTTTCAAGTCTTTATCCCTGCTCTAATCTGTTCAAGTTGGCCAGCTGTTCCCTTGAGTCAACTACCTGTTTGCTTCAAGCACATTCTTCTCAGTGACTTTATTATATTTACTATCTATAGTAGTTGGTAATCCCTCTGTTATTAAATGTCACTGCAATCTGCATAGTGGTTCAGTTCACTGGAAACCAACCTTGATTTGTTCCTTTTCCACATTCACATTGAATTAATCATAATCATAATTACAATCTACCTCCAATATATCTCTCAGAATTTCTCCTCTATCCTTTCAGCTACTACTACTTATTTTAAAATTATTGCATTTTGTGTGTGTGTTACCTGTTGCAGTAGACCCTTTCTGCTTCACCTGACTCTATGATAGCCACTGTCCAACTTATTTTCCTCACTGCAACTGAAGTGACCTTTTGAAAGACAACTAATTATCTTATGTCATCCTGTGCTTAAAACACTTTAATGGCTTCCCATAACCCTGAGCCTTAAATTCCAAATCTTTAACATAGTCTACAAAGTCCTGCATGCTCTTATTCTTTCAACAGTTATAATGAGTTAGGATACCTTTGGTGGCAGGTAGTAGAAATTCAGCTGAAATGCTTTAATCAATCAGGATATTTAATAAGGATATGTATTATCTAATATGAAAAACTAGTCCAAAGGTAGGCAGTTATTGAGTTAGCTCAATAGTTCAGCTAACTGTCTCTTTAACCTCATTCATTTTGCAAGTGTTCATTGAAAGCCTAATCTGTGTCAAGTTCCTTGCTAGATAATCAGAAGCAAGGCTCAAGGGTGTGAACACTATTGTTTTGTCTGACAGCATCTTTTCATCAAATAAGAGCACCAAATAGGGGCCTTCTGGGGGGTATAGAGGATAGACTCAGTGCTGTCACTGATGAAGCCTGAGTTCCATTATCCGACAGAGAGCTAACCCACATGCCTCAGTAGACCTCTCTGTCTCGCCTGCTGCTTCCCTTAGCACTGTTCACTCCCTGCACCTCTGGCTTATACCCCAGTTCTTGTTGCATAAATAAATAAAAATAAATCTTTTAAAAAATAAAAATAATGCACTCTTCCTTTGGTGGAATTTCCCTTTTCTCAATCCATATGACTTTGCTGGGACTGCTGATCCTAGTGACTCTTAATGTTTCATTTTATTTTAAAAAATATTTATATATGCATACAATAACTGGGGTGTAGGCCAGAGGTGCAGGGGGCAATATTATTCACCAAAGACAAAATGGGGAGTAGAACAGGCAGATCAAATGAAATACACTACTGATGGGAGCAGAGGGTGAGTCTGGAGAAGTCTGCTGAGCCATGTGGGTTAGCTCCATGGCCAGGGATTGAACTCATGTTGCATTGAGACTTTAACTCCTGCACCACCAGGGAAGCCCCCTAATTTCTCCTTTTTAATCCCTTTACCTACCTCCCTATGAGTAGGAGTGCTGTGATCTGCAACTTCCTTGGTGCCTGCACGTCTTATGCTTAGTTGATACACTTTACATCCTGCTTATACATCATCTTACTTATCTTCATTTTTCCTTGATTAATTCATTTAGAATTGAGTTCTGTTGCTTAGAACCAAAGTCACTGATATCGTGTGTTCTCAAGGCTTTGCATGGCCTAGGAGACAATGACAATAGCAAGACATTTATAAGTAAACATAAGATGATTGACAGAGTTCTACACTGAGAAAGAGCTGTGCTCACTCAGACCAAAGGGAGGCAATGAAAGGAAGAGGAAAGACAGAACAGTCTAAATAGAAGGAACTTAGAATAGAAAGGCAGAGCATTTCAGATAGAGGGGACCCAGTGAGCACAGACAAAGTTGCAAGAAGCAGCATGCTCTATTTGGAGACTCTAGGAACAGCTCCTTGTAGTTAGGACTTCATGTACATAGTGAATGTTGGAAGAGAAAACTCCAGAGAGTGAGGGAGGGTGAGGTCATGAAAGCTGTATTTGACATGTTGAAAATTTTTAACTTGCTTCTGTGATTTTGTGGAGCCAATCAGGAGTTTCAGTAGAAGAGTAACAAGGTCAGAACTGTAATTTTTTCAAGTCACTCTGTTTATGTGAAGGGTTCTCACATTTTTAGTATCAGAATCACCTGATGAGCTATTGAAATGGACTATTCCAAGATAGTATGATTCATGGACCAACGGGGAGCTAAGGATGCTGTATTCTAAGAGCCTGTAGCAGACAGTGACACCAGAGTCAATGAACCATTTTTTAAAAAGCATGGCTCTACTGATGGGCAAACAATGGATCAGGTTACTTTGACAACTGCAGAGATGTCAAGTGCCAAGAGAGAGTCACATTCACTCCTAATGTAATCTGTCCGTGACCTTGAGCTTGCTTCCTCAAAACTGCAGAACATTACACTGGTGAATGCCCTCACCCTGAAACGTATGTAGCTCTGAATTTATAAAAAAAAAAAAAAAAAAAAAAAAAAAAAATTAATTTTTTAATTAGAAATTCCTATTTATGTACCTATGGAGAGTAATAAGGATTCATAGCAACAGATAATAAGGATTCATAGCAAACATCTGAACAATAGTGTTTAGCATGCCTCCACAATTGAAGTGTTATTTGATGATAAAATGTGACACTGTTTTCTTCTTAAAGGAGGGCAATATCACAAATGAGGGTATTCTGAATAAAGGAATGATGAGTTCATCTGAGGGGGGGCAGGCAAGGAATTGGACCTTCTTTCTGCAGCATAACTGGTTTTTCAAATATGAATAATATCTTCAGCTTTAGACTAGTTTCATTGCACACTATCCCCAGATAGTGTATTAGAGATTACTACCCCCATGATGTTCTGACCATTGCAATTCATGGCAACTGTGGACAGTATGCCACAGCATATCCTCACACATACTCTCTTCAGGAATTAACTCAGGGGCTATCCTGTAACTCTTCTTCTTCTTGTTTTTTAAATGCAAAACTTGTATTGTTTATTTTATTTTATATAAGTTTATTTTTACATCATTTTGTGCCTTTTTCTATCTCAGTTGCAATCTCTTTGGGCTTCCCATCACCAAATCACCCATGTGCCATCACCATAGTCCAGTGCATTTCTCTCCCCCCACTGTTT